TTGCCAAAACTATTCAATCAAAAAATATTTTCCCATCAACGACAATTGGACGGACACAAAACATTTATTTATTTATCTTGCAAAACATTAAATCCAATCCTATGTGTGTGTGTTTGTATGTATTTTTGGTATATTAAGAAAGGAAACAATCATCAAATCTCCTAAAAACACCAAACATTATTTGGAATGGCATTCAAAAAGAACGCAAAACTGCAGAACAAAATCAATAGTCATATAAGATTAGAGAAATATTGGCCCGCATTTCCCACTGATAAGCGGCGCGGCAGCAATTCCTCCATGTACAACAACAAGCTAAGCGTTTTTATTCGTTTGCTTGTTCTTTCGTTAGCTATTCTCTTAAAGCGTATTGTTACAATCATCGGAAAAATAAATGTTGGTTGGTGTCATGTTATTTTTTTTGTAACTCAACGTTAGACGTTACAAACAAAAATGGCAAAATGGACCTTCGCCGCCACTTAATGACTGACTCAAAAGTGGTGGTTTAAAAAAAACATTTTTTATTAAATTCTTAAAATGAAAAATTAAAAAATATACCAACCATCGAGCTGGCAGCACTTACATGACAGCGGAGATCGAGTTATACATCACGCAAAACGCGTGTCAGCCTTAAGCTATTGAGACACCCGTCTCGATCGAATACACATTTTTTTATTGAGTACTTCAAATGCAATGCCTGACTGGCTGGGTGGCTGGTTTAATCTATCTTCTGGGCAATTGTTGTCACCGTCCGTCCTCATCATCCGCTATCTTTGGTTTGATAAGCGTTAAAAAGCCTTTTTGATTATTTATGATTGTTGTTGTTGTTGTTTTCTTTTCCTTCCTTTACAACAACGACAACAAAAAATTCCCGTCACTCCTTTTGTCACTTACTTTAAAATTGTGTGTTCGATCTCTCTCATTGCCTCCCTAATGTAATGATCCCTTGGACTTTCCTACGCAATCAAACTGATTACCGAACATGCGTAGAACATTAGTAATGGTTTCTGGTAGCGTTATCACACTTTTTGTTATTGTTTTAGCTGTCCCGTCTCGTCCTTTTCACAAAGACATTGCAACACAACAGCAATAATACGCTTTACACTTTAAAATGCCAATTACATTTTTTAATATTTCATTTTATTACAAAAACAACAAAAAAAGAAACAAAGAACAACAATCATTGTTTTTGTTGTTCACAAGAAATCTTTTGAAGTTTGCACATTATTTTCTAAATTGTCTAAGGTTTGATAAGGGGAGTTAATATTGTTTGGTTTTTTGCAAGGGGTGATATTGTAGTTTTTGTTGTTGTTGGACAAATGGGTGTGTGTGTCCTTTCACAAACATCAAACTTACATGCCTGTGAACATAAAAAAGTGTCCTTTAGGCACTCCCTTTTTAGCTGTTGTTCTTAATTAAGGTGTGTAATGATCTTTTACCGGTAATTCTTTTTTGTCGTTGTTGTAGTAGTAGATTTTTTTTAAATTCCGCTAATTGTCCTTTATTGCGTGTGTCGAATTTTTTCGAAGGGGAAAGATAAAAAATTGTCTTAGATATGTTTGCTGACAACTTTTTTAAATTTTATTGCTTATAGCGAATTGTTGAGTTATAGTTGTGTGAAATAGAATTTAAAAAATATAGATTTTTTTTAATTTAATTTTATGATTTTCTTTTAATTTAGAAATGAAAAAAGAATAGAAATTAAATTTGGCTATAAACTATAAAAATGTTAAATCTGAAAACCAAAATTATTTTCTTGCGAACAAATTTTGCACTGACAATAAAATGAAATATAAAATACCGACAATTTCACTTAATTCGCAAACATCGATAACTCATGAGAATGCGAATAAGAATTTTTGTGAATTTTAGGGTTTGAGGAAATACTGTTTTAAAGATTCTAAAAACCATCCAGATAGAACACTCAATATAAGAAGTCTAAAATCTTAATATTTCAAATTCTAAAACCATTATCCTCCGAGTTTCATATCCCTTTCACTTTTATACCTTAAAATTATTCCATATAAAAAAATTATGCCACGTTTCGAATTGTTTTGTTTTATACAGAAACCATGTTTCCTCATAAAATTATTCACCTCAAAGACCTACAAAAAGTGTTCTCGAAACCAGGAGTCCAATAAACATCCCCACTTTTAAAAAATTTCTGGGTACCGATTCAATCACACAACATTTTAAGGCTCTGCCTTTGAGGGGATAATAATTTATTCAAGTTCTCAAATTAGGAGTAGGAATTTGATACCTAACCACATATACAAACATGTCTTAGCATGAAGCGAACTGAGTTCGGTTGATTTAGTAATCAGAAATTCAGCTGTAATATGGATTTGTTAAAAAATATTTTTGTGGAGACATCAGTAGGCGTGTTTTTTTTTTAAAATATTTTTGTGCAGTTGTATAATTCGTTAATTCTGCCTTCCCGAAGTTTACCACAGAAGGACTTCCTTTCCCCCTTTGAATGTTCAAGATCGCTCGCTCCAAAAAGTTGATGTAAATTTTAAAGTGGATAACACTGATCATAATTTTATTCATTTAATTTAGGGGAGCATCCCCCCCCCTTCTCGGTTCCCAAACATTTAATTTTGTATTTCGGACCGACACTAATTCAAGAACGTCCTTGTAAAATTTCAAGTGAAAATCTCAAACATTTTTTAAAGATATAGCCGATTTATTGTGTTAGCACCAAGTGACAGCAAGAGGGCTTTTCAAACTTTAAACGCTTTTTTTCCAAACAGCGTTTTTGCGAATGGCGGGCACGATAACTCACAAATTAATAACCCAATCGATTTCAAATTTTGGGACGTTTCTCTGTGAGTGTAAAGCTAACGTATGAACTAGCCAATCGATGATGAACTTCCTTATTTTTTAACTTGGTTTTGGATCAAAAAACTTGCGATTTTCCAAAAATATGTTTTCAAAGGACCGCCATTTTATTAATTTTTGAACGAAGTCCTATATTTTTCCGAATTTTCCACTACATAACGTGTGGTCTTAGTACTGTGTCGACTCTGGAATTGGGCTAAAAAATATGGCTGAAGTCTAGGCAATAATAGCGTGATACCACAATCTTGGTATAATTTAAGGTGAAATGGGTTGACTTTCTTAAATGTATAAATATTTTTTCTTTCTAAAAATCAATAAAAGGAAAAAATATATTTTCCCCAATACATTTATGAAGCAAATGACAACTCATTCAATCAATGGAAAATTCAAGGTTTGTTTGACATTTACGAGTAATAAAATTAAATCATTTTAACTGAACAAGAAAAAATACTGTCAATTAAGTTCGTTCGATAAAACCTTACAATGGCAAAGTTCCAAAGAGGAACAAAAAAGGTTTTCGGAAAAGCCAAGTGTTTAGAACTCTCACACGCAATTTATACCACAAAAACCAGGGAGGAAAAACCCCACAAGCCAAAAGGCAAATGAACCTTAATGTCGGTTCAAAATATAAATAAAACTGAAAATTGTTGCATTCACGCAGATACATACAAAAAAAAATAGTTATGAATATTCTAAACACATTTTGAACATTAATACTTCAATTTATTTATTTTTTTTTTTGATGGAAGTAGAGATGCGTTTCGGGATGCGACAGTGGCCGTGTGTGTGTGCAGCTTAATTGAAATTAATTGAAAAACAACGCTCATCATCAACATCATCGTCGTCACTTTTCAGAAAACAAAACACCGAAGGAAATTATGTTTCATTTGCGGCCTTTCTTTTTTTCAATATTTTTTTGTTTTTGTTAAATTGAAGCTCTAAAACTCCAAAACAATGCCATTCACTTGAATATGAGTTATATTTTTTGTTAATAAGCAAACAAATGTTTATTAGAAATTATTGTGTTAAAAAATGTGAAGAAACGATAGAGTCGGAACCACGCACCCCAAAAAATAACCATAATCCGTAATCTTTAATTAAATTTAATAAAGTAAAAAAAAAATAATAATAAACCTATAAAACAAAGTCATAAACTCACTCACTCATACATACAAATATCTAACAACCACTTCCATGGAGTCTGTAAATTGGTGGCATAGAGAAGAGTTCCGGGGGAGGGATGCGAATGCATAGATCCCAAGTCATTTAATTCGATAAATATGCAGCATGAATTGTGTCTGCAGATGAATTAAGTCAATGATTTTTTTTTTGTTTTTGGGAATAATAGTTTACGCTTATTGTTGGAACAGACTGACGGAATAATGCTCTCCTCCGTCTGGGTGGTTGATGCATGCAAACCACGCACATTCCTATATACGAGTATACATACATAACTATTCATTGGTTTCGGGAGGTAGTTGAAGTTGGTGATGGAGGAAAAGGTCATTGCACTAGTTGTTAGAATTTTTGGTATAGTTTTTTTTCGGTATTTGTAATTGAGCATCGTTTATTTCAATTAGAATGCACCCAAACGAAATGACAATAGGCTCTCCATCCATATTTTGGGAGACTTTATTTTGTCAAATGGGGAAGTTCAAATGAAATGAAGAGATTTTATGATCCATCTAATAAGGTTAGTGTAATTAACACCAATGACATAGTCGGCGGTAAAAAATATATTTATTTAAATTAGTCTATTGTTGGAAAGATTTTGGGTTACTTTTTAGGTACAGTTTTAAAAATGTGGAATCTACAAAAGGCGTGGATTTATTTTAAATCCGATTTTCTTTAGAGCCTTCAATAGGATTTTTGGATTTTTTAGAAAATATTTTATAAAGTCTTCTATAGTCGTGGAGTTTTTAAGTTTTTAAAAATATTTTTGGAGTCCTCAGGAGGTTGGAGTTTTTAAAAAAATATTGTTGGATTCCTCAGTAGACTTGGAGTTTATAAAATATATTTTTGGAGTCCTCAGGAGGAATATTTTTGGAGTCCACAGGAGGAATATATTTAAAAAGTATTTTTATGGTGACCTCAATAGGGGTGGCTTTTTTAAAAATATATTTTTGGAGTCCTCAATAGGCGGGGATTTCTTAAAAATGTGTATGGAGTCCCAAATAGTTGTGGATTTTTCTAAAAGAAAATTTATAGAGGCGTGGATTTAATAAGAAAAATGTTTTTGTGGAGTCCACAACAGGTATGGATTAAAAAATATACATTTTTATGAAGTCCACAACAAGCGTGGATTAAAAAAAAATATTTTTATAAAGCCCATAACCGGCGTGATCTGTAGTAAAATCGAAAAGGTTCCATAGCATGTGTAATATACTTGGGCATAACTCAACTCCTATACTTTTTCGAATTGGAAGAACATTCTGAAGTTTACGAAAGGAAAGGGACTTCCTTTGCTCCTAAAGGATTTTTAAATTTCTCTTTGAATTTCCAGATTGTTCGACTTAACTTTCTTCTGCTTGCAGGATTCTTGGGAATCTTACCTAGGATGACCTTCACAAGGGCAACAGTTGGAGGTTGGAATTCTGTAGCCTTAAATTTGTCTTCTTCTTAGCGATGCTTATGTCCCCTTTCCGAAAACTTTTCGCTGAAGTCCTACCTTCGTGGCTAAATTTAAGAGGGTGAGCATTATCTTTATATTTCCGACCTTCCGAACATTTAACATATGTTGTTTCAGGTTATCTATCTTTAACGTTCATTCACTGTCAGTCAGTAACCGATAAAATTACTGTTCAGGAATGACAACATCGGAACAAAATCTTTACTTCACATGACTCAACCACCAACCACAGTACCCCATGCCATTTTTCAAAAATTTTCAAAAACTCGATTAATCAGACATTTGTATTGTAATCTAGATATTAGATCATGGGACTCTTACTTCTGAGAAACATTTTTTTTGCCTTTGGAGGGTAAGCCGATTTTTGCATATCGTGGTATATGCTATGCCAAAGCACCAGTCAACGAATTAAGATTTAAAGCTCCCGAGCCTGTGGAACCTTGGAACGGTACACTTAAAGCTACTGCAGATAGTTTGGTATGCCCCCATTCCAATTATAGTTGTTGAGAGTGAAGATTGCCTGAAGCTGAATGTGTTCACAATGAATGTAACCGCACGTTTGCCCGTCATGGTCTACATTCACGGTGGTGCCAACTATATGGGTAGTTGTCACAGTTCATATGAAGCGGGACCACAATAATTACTTGATCATGATGTGGTCTTGGTGGCATTTAATTATCGCTTGAGGGCTTTGGGTTTCCCAAGTACTCGGACCCCGGAATATCCTATTGGCTTTGCAATGGGTTCGGGATCATATTGCTACGGATAATATTGCTGAGGGTAACTTTAATAAGGTGCCAATGATTGTGGGTTTTGCTCGCAACGAATTGGACTTTTCCGTGATGATAAGATTTTTTTATTTTTCTTAGGTCAAGAGAACAATACACGCTTATTGTATGATTTGGTAGTCAGTTTTGATAAGCATGCTCCCGAAATATTCCTCTACAAACCAAAATTTCCAATGTAATCCCACAGCAATTGAAAAGTCGCAAAATTTGGAATTTATATATGGGTTCGGAAGCCATGGAACTTAATTCAACAAATCTTCCCAGTTTTGGCAAACTATTTTCTGATGCCATATTGGGGCATGGCATTCATCGTCTGGTAACTCTATCACATAACGATACCCCTGTTTATTATTATCGCAAAGATTATATTGACATTATAAGTTTATATCCGTACAATAATGGATGGTCACAAGGTAAGTACGACTAAAGAGAGCGGAGATATTTACAAATTTTAGTCATAGTTTTGGGTATGAAAAAGCATGAGAATTTTTTTGATTCCAGATGTTGGTCATGCCAGTGATTTACAATATGTCCAAAGATGCTGCTGATATTTTTATGGTAAAACGATTGACACAATTATGGACCACATTTGCCACTACTGGGTATGATTTCCTAATTTATTACACATTCCGAAAAGCCATCTAATTTATTTCTTAATATTTCTTTTTCTCAAATTCCCAGCAAACCCATTGCCGATGATGTCGAGGAATGGTCACCAGTTGGTGTCACAAATTCACCAATACTTTATAATGGCAAAACTGCCGAAATGGGTCCATGGTCATATACCGAATATTATCAACTATGGGATGATATGTTTCCAATTGAAATGAAAAATGTCACGGGTCCCTAACTACCTAATACATGGACAGAGAATAGAATAAATAATAAGTGAATGAGTCATCAATAGGCGTGAATTAAAAAAAAAAAAAAAAACATTTTTATGGAGTCCTCAATAGAATTTTTTTCAGAACGGACAACATCGAAGCGTATTTTTCCTAAGGCGGTGTACCATTCTCCACACAACTGTTACCGATAAATTTTAGTTTGTGGTCTTTATTGGATTTTATTTACTCCTAAGATGTCACTCTCTATGTTCGCTAACCCACCCACTACCCAATACAATTATTCGAAAATTGCAAAAACTCTACTATTCCCCCTATTAACTGTTATCTAAATATTCGAACATTGGACTCTTATTTATGAGATTAATTTTTAACATTAATAACTCTTCCAAAAAACAAAAAACAAAATTAAGAGCCCATTTGTCCGCTAAGAGTGGTTATCGCTCTAACAAACCACTCCGAACTTTGGATATTTTATCAGTCTCAACTCTCATAAAGGTATAGAACAATGCAGTTTGATTAGAAAATAAGTACTTTTAGTATAAATTTCACAATCAACATGAAAGCATTGGGATTGGCCATAATTTTTAATATTTTCTTATTACAAAATATCGTTGAGGTGAGGACAAATGAAGAACCAGATGCAGATGTTCCGATTGTCGAAACATCATTGGGTAAAATCCAAGGCAAACTACTGACAACTTTGGAGGGTAAGCCGATTTTTGCATATCGTGGTATACGCTATGCCAAAGCACCAGTCAACGAATTAAGATTTAAAGCTCCCGTGCCGGTGGAACCTTGGAATGAAACTTTGAAAGCTACCACAGATAGTTTGGTATGTCCCCAACCAGGCGCCTTGCAAATTGTTATGAGTGAAGATTGCCTAAAGGTGAATGTATTCACAAAGAATGTAACCGCACGTTTGCCCGTCATGGTTTACATTCATGGAGGTGCCAATGTTTTGGGTAGTGGTCATAGTTTATATGAAGCGGGACCACAATATTTACTTGATCATGATGTGGTCTTGGTGGCATTCAATTATCGTTTGGGTGCTTTGGGTTTCCTAAGTACTCGGACACCGGAATATCCTGGAAATTATGGTTATCTAGATCAGGTATTGGCCCTACAATGGGTCCACGATCACATTGCTAATTTTGGTGGTGATCCTCAATCGGTAACAATATTTGGTATGAGTGCTGGTTCCATGGCTGTGTCACTGCACATGGCATCACCTTTGTCGAAGGGCCTCTTTCACAAGGCCATACTTATGAGTGGTTCGGCAACAAATCACTATGATATCGATAATCTTTATTGGACAAGGAAATTGGCTAGAGAAGTGTCGTGTCCTCAATACGATCCTGTGGATATGGTGGAATGTCTAAGAGAAATTAGTTGGAAAACAATTGTAAATAAATGTGCCGAATGGGAACCCTACTCGTTTGTCAATATGAAATGGAATTATGAAGTGGATGGTCACTTTTTGCCACAGCATCCGAGTGAAATTTTTGCAGAGGGTAAATTTAATAAGGTGACAATGATTGTGGGTTTTGCTCGCAACGAATTGGATTTTTCGGTGCAGGGTAAGTTTTGCAGAGGTCAAATATTTAGATAATTGAAAAAAACAATCTAATTTTTTTCTTAGTTCATGAGAACAATACCCGCTTATTGCATGATTTGCTTGTCAGTTTTGATCTGTATGCTCCCGAAATATTCCTCTACAAACCGGAATCTTCAGATGTACCTCCGGAGCAATTGAAAAGTCGCCGAATATGGAATTTCTATATGAGCCCAGAAGCCACGGAAATTAATTCAACAAATCTTTTCATTTTTGGCCAAATATTTTCGGATGCCATACTGGGGCATGGCATTCATCGTCTGGTAACTCTCTCCCATAACGATACCCCTGTTTATTATTATCGTACAGATTATATTGGTGGTAGAAGTTTATATCCCGACCATCTTGGACTATCGCAGGGTAAGTACGAAAGAGGGCAGAAATAATTACAAACCATAGTTTATTTTTCTCTTTCGAGTCGAGCTTAATAATCGAAGTTTTGCTTTGAAGAGGAAAGGAAACATTGAATTTATAAGAGAGGATACAAATCTCAGTTAATTAACAATGGTTTTTTGCCCATCAAAAATCCTCACACTTTAACTTCGACGTTATTGTCATAGAAGTAAATTTTGAAATTAACGAATAATTAATCTGAAGATATTATTTTATTTAATAAAAATACTATTTTTTTCCAGGTGTTGGTCATGCCGATGATTTGCAATATGTTATGCCAGGCCTATGGTATGGTACACAAATGGCCACAGATGATGTCGATATTTTTATGGTAAAACGATTGACACAATTATGGACCACATTTGCCACCACTGGGTATGATTCCAAATTCATTACGTAAATTTTTAAAATTAATTCTTCTCAAATTCCCAGCATACCCATTGCCGATGATGTCGAGGAATGGTCACCAGTTGGTGCCACAAATTCACCAATACTTTATAATGGCAAAACTGCCAAAATGGGTCCATGGCCATACAGGGAATACTATCAACTATGGGATGATATGTTTCCAATTGAAATGAAAAATGCCAGTGGTCGGCAGTGGCCCATTATATGGATAATTAACACATTATTGTTAATCATTTGGAATTTAAGTTAATGTCGAGGAAGATAAGATGATTACCTGCGCATGGTGCGTGTATTGGTAAACATTAATTTGCCATTAGGATTAAATAAAATGTCCTTGTGTTGCTTTTCCTTTTTCATTCAATTAATCAACTGTGTTTGTTTTTGTGTGTCTTGTGCTCCCAGATTTTACTGAGTCGCTAAGTAAGCAAATATATATCACATATATAATTGTGCAGTGTGAAAACTGCTAAACTTTATTTGCTCTTTCACATACACCCTACTAAAAAGTGAAGGATATAGTTAGTTTGCTACACAGATATTTATGCCTTGCGTTGCACGCACTATATAATTTTGTGCACAAGTTCAACAATTTTCTTCAGAACTAGAGTTGGGCAATCTAGTTCACTTGGCGGATCGATATTTTTTGTCTTTTTTTTTTTAATTGAACTAGTTCCTCAATATAGTTCCTTTGTTCCATATAGTTCCAAATCGTAGATATTTCCTTTGGATCTCCCTTTCATCGTTCCTTTTTAATTAATTAAACAGCTGGAACTATTTCCGATCGTTCTTTTCTTGGAATAGTTGCAATGATCTAGTTCGGCCCGGAACTACCCAACTCTATACAGAACAGAATAAAGCATTTTTAGCTTCCTGGTTCTGAGTGGATTCCTGTAGAAATTATATGTGAATGAAGTTAGGCACAAGAACGATGTATATATTAAAAATTATTACTTACATGCTGATGAGCTATTTTAATTCTATCGTTCATTGGTACACATCAGTTCTTTCAGTCAATTGTGAAGTTCTTGTTTATTCTTGTTCATTAAAATAAGTAATGGGGAAATATTGAAGTAGTAACTTTTCTATTGCCTGATATTTTAATTCAATGGTGTAAAATCTTTAATTTTGATACTATGGCTGGTGGATGTAAATTAACAAGAGGAAGAACTAGCTGAGCAAAATATTTAAACATAGTACCTACAGCTCCTTTTACAGAATAATTTCTTTGAACTAGTTCCTTACCGGAAAGCCACAACTCCGGGCCGGGCCAAACTATTTATATCCCAAAGTTTTGGTGTGAATTAAAATTTTTCTTTACCATGGACTATATTTTTTCAGAGAACTAAATACAATTTTACCGACATTGTGATGTTCGAACGTATTCTTGTTCACTAAAGTAAACAATGGGAACAGGTTCCTTTTTTAGAATAGTTTTATTGAACTAGTTCGTTACGAAAAGACACAACTTTAACTAAATTAACAAGAGTAAAACTAATCGATTGTAGTAAAGGGTGAACAAAAGATTCACACCTAGTACCAATTATTCATTTTGCAGAGTAGTTTTATGGAACTAGTACGTTAAGGAAAGACACATGTTTAAAAAGTAAAAACACTATTAAGTTCGGACGGCAATTTGCGCATTGCAAATTCTTTCGATGGGACTATTAGTTATAGTACATTTTTTGCAAATTGATATCCAAATATGGACTTCCATTGAAAATGTTCTGGGAAAATGTGGCATCTTTATTTGGGGGGTATTTCAGAACATGGACTCATCTCGAAATGTGTATATAATATTATTGTTCAAATTACAACCGTTTCGATCCAATCGTTAACCGAACCAAACGAAGTGTATAAATGAACGATTGAACTAAAGGATCTATGATACTAAATGCATGGCCTAGTTTAAAAAGAGGTATCCCGCAAAAAAAAAAAAACGATCGATAGTAGGTGCGATTCTTTCCCTCAAATAGTTCCATTTGCTGTCGTTCACCTAATTCGTTTTGTTTTAATCGTTGACCGAATTAACTGAAGTGTACAAGTGAAACATTGAACTAAAAGGAACTACGGAACTAAATATATGACCTACATAGTTCCTGTTGAGGAGGGAACTAAATAAAAAGCAACCGCTTCAGGAAATCGATTATTCAACTCAATTCAAAATACCGAAAATGAGGTAAAATCGTTATACCAAAACGTGAACCCATTTTCAACAGTAATCCTAGTAGTTGAATGAGCTATCAAAAAATTGCGAGCCTAACCGACTTTGAATTTTAAAAACAACCACTTACAATGGGGGTTCTATAAACATAGACATGTAGTTCATGGGTCTTCCGCCGTATAAACCTGACTTGGCACCGAATGACTTATTTTTATTCCTCTACATCAAAAACAAATTCGTAATACTCGCTTTTGGTAGTAATATATATGCGGATAGACTCTAAAACCGATTTGGTTTACACTCATACAACCGATATCGTTTATAACGGCGGTCAAGAGATCGCTGACATTGGTTGATATTAGCGGTAATCATTAAAACGATGCCAAATAAAAGGACGATTTTAATCGGAACTTTTGAATACCATTTATACCGATATGTCGTTAAAAGTCATGCCTTTATAAACGAATTCGACATTATATCTGTCCTTTCCGAATGCAGTGCAGTCCCAAGAGTTTGTAACGCAGCGAAATATTGGTCCCAGACCCACCTTTATGTATACCTATCTGGATACATATCTCGACTAGCTGGGCCGATCTAGACATGTGTGTCCGTCCGTTTTGCAGGTAGGATGGATTCTGGCAAAAGAGGACACCTATTGTCTTTGGTAAAGATCCGTTAATATTTAAGAGATGAAATGGACCAAGAACTTTAGTTTTGTCTGTTTCTCAGGTCGGTCTAGAGTCCACAATTATGACCCGAACATCACGAAATTTTACACCAGGAAGTGAATCTGGCCAAAGAATAAGCATAACTGTTTTGATGAAGATCGGTCAATATTTAGCGGATCAAATGGACCCAGCCTTTTGTGTGAAAGATAACAAAATGTTTATTCTGGGGCGTACATAATGACTCCTGAAGAACCTAGACCCTAGAAATTTATTGCATATCCAAGAGGGGTGGTTTATCTTTAAATTGTATTGTTGCATATATTGTCGGGTGTAGGAGTTATACGTAAATATCTAATGGTGTCTATGTGCTCTGATATTGCTTAGTATTACTATTACACTGCTAGAGGGCGGAAATGAAGTGTTGATCGCTTTGAAATAATTATCGGTCAATATTTTGAGGGCCAAATCAATTAAAAACTAAAGTGATTACATTTTTTTTAACGCGTTATATTCACCTCGGGAAAACAAGATTTGAAAAATATACTAGAATTAGAAAGAGGAGCTGTTGACCTCTAATTGGACAAGAGGGTGCAAATATTACAAAAAATTGCCGAGGCTCGGCTCACTGGTTAGACTCTTGCCTTATCGAATTTTTAAATTAAAATGTTGCTTAGTTAGCTCCACATGCACTATCAATGAACTTAAGATATTTCATCACTCCAAATGAAGTGTGCTTCAAATTCGTTCATTCCTCATTGTCTCTTCTTTTGAGAACGTGTGTTTATTTACGGTAATTAGTCTTAAAGGACTTAGCCGAAATCTCAGTGCCTTCAAAAGAAAGTGAGCCTCTGCGTGTGTGAGACGGCGAGTGCTGTGTGTATGAGTGTTTAATTTTTCACTTCTAAGGATAATGCGAGCATGTTTGACATGTGACTATGTCCTTGCAAGGGGATTTTGTGTGTGAGGGATAATTCTCATTCTTATTTACAAAGCTATTTGTTTATGTGTAATTACTTCCTTAATTGCCTTTGTTTGTGTGCTCAATGGCTTTGTCTTTCGACGATTAAGTTTGACTCTGAGTGTGTATATATATATATATGTGTGCGAGTGCCAGTGGAGTGGCAACGGAGGGGAAATCTTCAATGGTTGTTTATTTGGTTGATGATGAAGTGGTTGGTATTGACATTTAAGATTACATCGTTGTATGTGTTCATTGCATAAACACTTTATAAAAGGATTATTTAGACATTGTGCTCACCCCCACGCACACACAACACCTTGTGACCTCTAATGTTTCCCCCAAGCCATACAATGAATCTCAGTTTATCAGCAATAAAGGTAATTTACAATGAATGGACGAATTTTAGAGGGTTTGAGATAAAGGTCCATTGCCCCCCTCCCCTCATATATAAGAGGCCAGGAGTGTAATCATAAAGTTTAGCATTCTGTTGAATGGAAGTTGTTCATTTGTCCTTTGACTTTCAATGATGCCCTGGCAGAAATTAATTCATTTTTTTGTCTCCTCTGTTGTGTGATATGTGAACAGCATATTTGGTCTAGAATCGAGTTGTTTGCCTCTCTGTGTCTGTGTGTGCGTTTGTGCCTATTTGTATTTGAATGTTTAATTTAACAAAACGATGATGATTATCCTTTGTTTTAGCTCCTCTCCTTCTTTATCTTCTGTTGGTGTGTGTTACGGCTGTGTTTGTTGTTATCCTCACAAAAATGTGTGTTGAAACAAAAGAGTTCCTTATCATTTGCTCAGACTCTCCTCTCAGTCTCTCCTTGTCACACACAGTCAGTCATCCAGTCGTTGCCTCATATGTTTGCTGTGAGCCTATCTCACAAGCAACACTTTGAAGTTAGTTGTTGATATTCTGGAATAATGGGCTTGCCATTGTTCCCAGAGAGATTTGTTTTTGTTGTGTGTTAATTTTTTTTGTAAAAAAAAAGCCTGAGATAAATTCCAAATGTTCATTAATATTTGTCGGTTTTTCGGAGATTAAATTTAAGCGATAAAATTCGAAGTACAGATAAATTTGTCAGTTGCAGGTTTTTCCTACGACGACTTTTTGATTGGTAACTAATTAATCATTTGGAAAGTGATTGTTCGTTATGGAAGTCAGCTTAGAATGTGGAAGGGATAATTCCGAATTTTATGTGATTATTTTCTTTTTCCATTCTAGGAAATTTGGAAATAGAAGTCTGAATTAAGTATTGATAATGGTTTTGGTAAAAGGAAACATTTAAAGTAGTCAGAGGTTGGCCGAACGATCAATTGGATCAATATAGGCTCATTGGGTGGTAAATATCCCTACCAATAATTATAAATATCAGTACCCATTATAAGCCATATCCCTTTAATAGTTATTTTGAAGATCCTAGGTACAATTTGATATATCGGGACCTTTGGACATCTTC